TCCAGTTTGGATCAGAAGCAGCTCGAAACAAACACATGGCAGAGTTCGTCTATGGCTACCAAGCTGCAGCTGTACCGCAAACCCGTTGCATCCCAACAAGAGTAAGGCTAAGGAAACCCTTTGTTCACTCTATTTCACTGTGCTCGGAGGCAGCAGCTGACAGAACACCCAGCTCCTGGTATTGGCAAGGGAGCATGCAGCGTCTGGAAATGATAGGGGTCCGCACCTGCGGCAAGTCTGCCAGGAAGGTACTTGTCCGTGCATACTCAACCATGGTTTCCAGGGTGTGGAAATGTGTGAGGATTTGTATATGCATGTGGCATACATACATATACACCTACACACATGTGTGTGTGTATAAACGAACAGATATGCACATGTTTAGTTTAAAAGCGGATGTATGCAAACATATAAGCAAGGTAAACAGATGCGCCATGACTGCACAGAGATGAGAATATGAATGTCTGCAGGCAGGTATCAGCTTGCATGCATGATTTTGCAAGTACCCACAACACAGAAAAACACACGAGCATGCAGCAGGTCTACAACATGTTCATGGCCGTACGCATGTCTGTGCATATCTTGCTATGCCCTGCTTCTTAAGGATGGAACATCGGAAAGGCAGAAACTATGTTTCCACCCTTCGAACATGGCCCATGCATATGCTCAAGCCTTTGCCTATACGTTTACGAAATGCATGTACGTATACCAGACCTTAACGAGAAGACCTTGCGGCCCGATAGTCACCGTAGTCACATGCTCGGGCTCTTCTCGCCGTCTTTGTGCACCCTAGAACTTATTTCCGCGTTCTGTGCCCTGTGTCACTGCAGCTTTCATCCACACGGAGCCTATGCGAGAGTCGAGAACCTCAAAACCCCCGAGTCTGAGTTCCGAGCTGTTCATGTGCATTTCGCAGCAATGCTGATGGAACTCGGTACTGCGCATGACGACAACGTAACCTGAAGCGGGCATGAAGCTTCACGAGCTCTGTGCTAGTTGAGCACGTAGGACAAACACCGTACCCTACACGCTAAACCCCAAACCCTCCATGTTGGATGCAGCGTGGAAGGGTGTACTTTGTTTCTGCTCGCCTGGCGCGTGGACAAGGCTTGCATCCCAGCGACATGGCATGGTAGGGAAACCCATTTAATCCCCAAAGAGTCATTTTGGGCTCCCGTCTTGTCCGTGTACCCTCTCGTGCAGGCAACCCCGCAAGTCCCCAACCCAGCCCCAAAGCGAAGCTACCAGTAGACCCTTAAGGGGAACTCCAGAAAGTTGGAATATGGTTCCAGGGTAGGATACCTGTTAATTTACCATAAAGGGTTTAGGATAATCATATTCCAACTTTCTGGCTTTTACTTTAACCCTTAACCACCGACTCTGTGGGATGCAAGGCTATAGCTATAGTCTCCATTGTAGTTCCTTTTTCTGGTTAACCAGTTTTATGGTTAAGAACCTATAATAGAGATTTTGGATAACCAAAAAAAGGAACTACAATGGAGACTATAGGTAGAGGTTTAGACCCTCGGTGTAGGCTGAACTTTCTGCTTGGGTTTGAGGCCCGCTGCGATGCCCAAGCCTAAACCTGAGAGCAATCAGTCAAACGAAACCAATACTCTAAGACCACGAAAGACACGAGTCCGAAAACCCTGAAACCCTCGACAATTCCGAACACCTAAGCAAATAGTAGCTCGCATAGCAGCTGTGAAAGAAACGCGTAAAGTGGGCTTTTGGTTTTGCACCCTCGTTCCCTCGATGGGCAATATAGTTGGGATTTACATCTTCAAACTGTTCAAAGGCAGAGAGGTTGTCAATCAGGGTTCTACGTTAAAGTTACCCTTCAACCTCCGCCGCATAAAATTCTTATGAAACCCTATGAAGCTTTGACTGAACCCTTTCCAACCCGCAACCCTTGAGGCGGGGCAGGGCCCCTGCCTTCCCTGCCCTTCCCTTCCCTAAACGCTCACAAAAAGGGGGGTTAAGATTCTGGGGGTAGGGATTCCTTAATATAAACCCTATTATGGGAACCCTAATCCCTACTAAACCCCCATAGGCTAAAACCCCTTTTGGCCTCCTATGAACGGTTTCCGAGGAGCTGTCGCCAGCTGCGAGGGAATCTTCGAGATCTTTACCGGCCGCCATCTCCCACCTGAAAGGCTAGATGTAAGTCATGGACTCGGGGTTTAGGGTTTAGGATTTAGGGTTGAGGTGGGTCCTAGGGTTCTTTAGAGCCTATCTGGGCTTTCTAAGGGCTTGAGCACGAAACTTAACACGGGCTGGGCAAAGCTATGCATCCGCATCTCAAGCACTCCAAATCGGACAAATGCTGGAGCAAGTGCAACTGTCGTGGGTTCGGCCTAAACCCCAAACCCGAAGCCCTTAAAGCCTTTTTGAGCCTTAACTTTAACCTTAAACCACAACGATAGGCTCGACCCTTCAACCGCAAGTGGGTCGCGATACTTGCCATGCCCTTGGCTTCGCCTTTTGGGGTTTAGGGTTTCAAAGTAGTGAGTTTTCGACGGGAGCATAGTGTTAAACTATTGGACTTCTGCAGGGGGCTTGTGCTACCCAAACAAGCTGCACAACGAAGCTTGAAGTAGGGGTTTCGGCACAACATCGATGTAATAGAGGGACGAAGTGATTAGAATAGGGTTTTGGTGGTATTATACTACAATTACAACATAAGAAACCCCAAGGATAGTATTGGCAAGTACTTGGGCCCCTAGTAGCGCGGTTGCGGCGGAATACCAAGCCCTCATTAGACTTTGTTGCCTGTGCGCGAGGCGTCTTAAACCGAGTGACACCCCAACGCCTCAAAGATGAAATTACTCAGGCTTCATTAAAACCCAAACCCTACCCTAAACCCTAAACTTTAAATCCTAAGCCCCACACCCCACCCTAAACCCTAGACACAAGGCATCCACAGCTTGCAGGGAAAACAATGCTGACAAAGTGCTGTGGAGGTCTGCCTTCGGCGTCGAACCAGATGAAAATGCCTCAAGAGCTGCGAGTTCGAGGGTTTGGTGGTTTACGGTTTAGGGCTTTGGGGGTCCAGGGTCGGCGTTTGCAGGGGGAGTTATACCGATTCTAGACCCAAGAGTAGCCTAGGAATAAAAAGGGTGCCCTTCTTGGTTTACAGGGGCTTATAAGGGAACCTGAACCCTAAAAAAGGGAATAAGGGCCTACTCTGGGTCCTACGATTTGTAACCACGCATCCCGCAAAGGTTCATCGACCCTTGCAACCGGTTGCATTGCATGATTCAGCCTTCAGGGTCTCAGGCTTTGGGTAGGGTTTAGGGTTTAGGGTTTAAGGGGTTTAGGGTTCAGGGTTTAAGGTTTAGGGTTTAGGGTTTAAGGGGTTTAGGGTTCAGGGTTTAAGGTTTAGGGTTTAGGGTTTAAGGGGTTTAGGGTTCAGGGTTTAAGGTTTAGGGTTTACCTGGAGCCTTGAAGTATCTACTTTAAATAGCCTTCTGGAAAGAATCGCCCTTATCAGGAGCACCGCTGGAAACAGCCATTGTGGCTGATTTGGTTTTGAGAGCAGCAGCTGTGTCTGTTTCATGTTCGCGCTTCATGCAGCACTTGAAACAGCTCATCAAGCCTGCTTTGCCTGATCTCTGATTGACAAGGACACTACATAGTGGAAGTTTTCATACCAGTTTATGTGTGTAACAAGAAATTTAAAGCAGTTGTGCCTCTTTGTCACACCCATGGTGGTGGAGATCGTGGCTGGACTGTGTGCCCAGATAACATGCAACCCATTGTGTCTGCAAGCATTGCTTTGTGCGGGTGTTGTGCCGTGCCACTTATCTGAAAGCTTATCAACCATAGAATCTGTGGCCCGAGATTTTTTTCAAGCGAAGCGATGTCCTCCGAAGCACTCCGACGAGTTACGGAGCCAGTGGTGCTCCACAAGGCAGAAAATGCAGGCACGTCTGGCTGATGTTTGTGTGTAAATACGTGCATACATGCACACGCACACCCATACATAAATAGGTACACATATATACATTACATACACAGATATAAATACAGATGTGCATATACATATACACGTACACATACGTACATACATACATACATACGTACATAGATACATATATACATACCATATACAGTTCTATCTACGTGTACATGCACCAGCCATGTACATATACATATGCGTATACATATACACATACATGATACAGACAGAAATGTGATACAGGGTTAGGCATATATGGTTGTGCAAACGAAGTCGTGTTACAGGTCTGCTAAATCGCTCGGACGACTTTTGGGAGAAGTGCCTACATGCTCTGGGCTATGGCAAAGCCCCTCGCCCATGTCTGCATTCAGCATTTGCTGCCAGGCTGCTTGTGCACCGCAAACCCCCGAGTGCGGTGCTTTATGCTGAGGATACTACCCTTCCCTGGAATGATCGGATCGATGATGTGATTGACAACTACACTGGGGGTGGTATCTGCAAAGGTTTGGCAGACAAGGAAGCTGAGATTGCAGGTTCTTCAGCTATTATAAATATACTTTTGTCACTTCATAGGAAGGGCTGCTTGAAATCTTCAGAAGCGTTGCATGCGCTCAGACCCAAGGCACGCCAGAAGATGCCTCGGCTGGCGGAGGATGCAAGAAGTGATAGTCGATCGAGATATGTGCTTCTGAGAAAGAACCGGCTTATTGTTCGAGCAGCTACTGTCTCAGTTCGCATGGTTTCAGCAAGTTAGGTCGTCATAACATATATCTTACTGGGAATCCCTCGCATCGGCCAGGTACTTCCTCCGTGACCGAGTTCTTCACTGCTGGCCGGCCATGCTACTCGTGTTTGTGCCTTCATCAGCATTTCAGTGGTTGAAGGCCGTTGCAAGTTGAAGAAGTTCGTAGATTCAGTAGACTCCATGAGTTGGTTCGGTCGATGATGTCATCTATTCGAACGATCAGCATGGTTCCTGTTGTTCTTCCCAGCTTGGCTCCTGCACTTTTGTGATCTGGTTGCTGGGGCGATTCGCAACATGCCCCATCCACGACCAGAGGATCTTGAAGAGGAGATGGAAGCTGCAATGGGTGATGAGGGCAACCCCGAAGAAGATGGCAAGGTCAAGGTTTACTGGACCAACTACGTTGTGGCTGAGGCATGGGAGAAGTCGACCATCCTCCGCAAGCGTGGCAGGGAGACCAAACAGTTGACCAGGTGGCCTGCTGCGAAGACGAAGGGTATCCCTTCCATGCAAGCCATCCACTTGAACGGGGATGCGCTACTGATCCTGGCGAAGAGATGGTGTCCCCTGGTCCCAATGGCGAAAACGCCAACAATCGAAGTGCTTCAAACCGAAGTGAAAAAGTGGAGAGAAGAAATGGATCTGCAAGAGGACTCTGTGATCGAATACTTGGACACGTGGGGACTCCGACGCATGTTCTCTCTTGCCATTCGGAGAAGAAGTTCTTCGCGGAGATCCAGGGATACCGTCGTCGAGGAGTTCTTCGATGTGCTGTTGCGGCATTGGGGGCACACAAAGCAATACCTTGCCAAGCACGAGGGCTTAGCTGAAGAGGCAGACGACATTCTGTCCGACGGCTACGTTGAGATGTCGGACAACGAGGACGCGAGCTGGTGTGTGAAGTTCCGTGATGCAGGTGGGTCATCCGAATCCTTGCCGGACGAAGGGTTGGAGGATTCCGTGGGTTCAAACGAAGTGGCGGAGGAAATCCCCGAGCCTGGGCAAGTGGAATCCACCATGCATGGTGGCAGCAGCGATTCTTTGGGTTCAGACAAAGTGCCGGAGGAAATCCCTGAGCCCTTGGAAGTAGAGCCCACCATGCAAATTGACATGGATGGGGACGAGGACCTAGCAGTGGAAGAGGCGCTGCTGCTGAAGCAGCTGGCAGTGCTGCAAGCAAAGTTGCAAGCTCCTGTTGCTGCCTGCCCCGACAATCTAGAGACGCAGATAGAAGCTTTGCAGACGCCCGAGCCCCTTGCAGCCTTGTCCCGGTCCAACAGTTCGTTTGCTGATCTAGAAGATGTGCTTCCTGGAAAGCACTTCTCGCCGGCAGTTGAGCTCCCGAGCACTTCTGCCACAAGTGAGCCCGACAGTGCCTTTGTTACTCCGTCCCCGAAATGCCTGTTGCCTGACCTGGCTGATGTTGCGACGCCACCCAAGACGGAAGCTCCGGTTGTTGCAGCGACTGCGACAGCCGATGCCCCTAAAAATGGTCCAAGTGTCGAGGCCAGCGAGGCCAAGGGCGCTGAGACCGATGATGAGATCATGAACTACGAGGGTTTCGCCAGCAGAAAGGATCAGACCGGCATCAAGCGCAAAAACAAAGAAGTGGCTGAGGCTAAGGCCAAGCCTGGTGGTCGCGGTCGCGGTGGTCGCGGTGGACGCGGCCGTGGTGCCGTGGAGCCTCGACATGATGATGAGGATGATGATGCCAGCAAGGCCTGCGCTGGCCGAGGTCGAGGTGGGGGCCGTGGCCGTGGCCGTGGCAAGGGTGAGACCTCATGTCCAGTGGAGGACGAAGATCGTGAGGACCTCTGGGGGGATGAAGGTGCCAAGCCCAAGAAGAAGAAGAAGCAGGCCAATCCGAAGCCCAAGAACAAGAAGATCGAGACGGATGACACCAAGGCTTCGAAGGAGAAGCCGGCCAAGAGGGTAAAGGTGGCCAAAGCCACGGCTGAGCCCACAGCCGCAGTCGCTGGCGATGATGATCACGAGGCGGAGTGGCATGATGGCGAGGCCACTTGTTACTACGATTTGGACGATCCCTGGTGGCATGATGGCGGAGCAGCGGAGCAGAAAGGGGGTGCTGCTGCGTGGGAGGCTTGGTGGGATGATTGCGGGCACGCCCTGTATGGTGCGCAAGAGGCTGATGAGGCCAAGTCGGAGCCGGAGCAAGAGCAGGAAGAGGTGGCTGTGGGGCCGGAGCCAAGCTTTGCTCGGCGGCCTCCTCCAAAGACCGAGGTCCCATACAGGCGATGGTCTGCAGTCCGGGATGCCTTTAAGACCCATGTGAGCCCGAGCGTCTTGTACAGCTGCAAGTATCAGGACCCGGGTGGTGTAACGAACATCAACCAGAAGTTTAGACAGTTTTTCTTTTGGTGCCGACGACACAATAAGCTCGGTCTCTCTTTGGTTCTTTGTCCATCTCTCACACCATCCTCTCCAGCTCTATCTCTACGTCTACTTCTATGTTGTGTGTTCTACAAGTCTATCCGTGTGTGTATATATATATATATAGATGTGCACATACACTGTATATAGACACACATACATGCACATACGCACACACCTAGGTATATCTGCATACATGCATGCATGTATGTGTGTATGCATACAACACAGGCATCGTCACTCTCGCCTTTGCCCCGGAAACTTCATTCCTCCGTCCCTGTTTGTCTGTGCGTTATCACCCCTTATCACTTTTACCGCCCTGTGGCCAGGACCCTTTCTGGAAGGTCTGCATGGAAAAGTTCGGGGATCGCAAAGACGAGCTCAACAGGGGCCTAGTGGATTTCGCGACGATAGCCACCAAAGCGGCCAAGCACTTTGCGAAGAATCTGCCGGATGTGTAAGCTGTAGCTGATTATCTCGATTTGTGCTAGAGGAGCCAAGCTTTTCCAGCTTTTCTCTGTGTGCCCTTCAGTGGCACAGCAGCTAGTTAGCCTATGGGTGTGTAGGATTTCCTATGCGAATCCTGTGGGTCTGCAAGGGTGAAGTTCATATGATCTTCACCGAAGCGTTAATTGGATGGGGACAGGGTTCGTGCGCAAGGGAGCAGAAAAGGTTGTGAGCTCAAGCCAGCTGCATGCAACAGGATTCTGCGCTGCACTTCGATTTGTGGGACAGCTTCTCCGTTTTGTCTGCAACAAACTGTCATCAACAAATTGTCCGAGGTGCCATCGTCGACGTCATGCCGCCGAAGGGCATCCGCAAAGGCCAGGCATTCCTGGCCAGGTATGGGGCAATCCGAGCCTTTGCCTTGTTTAAGGGTCCTGCTGATCTGCTTTGCGCAGCCTACAGGCTTTGGATGTGCTTGGTTGCCTATGCAGTGCAGCCGCTAGCCGCCGAAAGCCCTTTCCGCAACAATATGTTGGCTCTACAGTTTGTACCTGCTCCAACTAGACTTTACAAGACTTGATTTTTGTTCGAGGCATATGCTTATAGAGCATCATATATCCATTTCGCAATCAGTGAAGATCTTGGCCACCTTTCGTTCAGCAACACTGGAAGTGTCTTGCTGCTAGTATACGTCATGACCACACCGAAGCAGTTCGACATGGTTCTCCGGAGATTAGTAGCACTGCGGGTGCCCAAGGCCCGCCCCGGGAACTGGGAAGAAGGGGTTCTGGGTTTATGGTTGTATATAGGTTTCTCTAGGCTTATGGGGGACGTGGTCTGTTACAAACTTAAAGCTATTGGCTTCTACGGGGTAATTAGTGAGGTTGCTAGAAGGATAGATAGGCAGATAGATGGTGCATGATTCGACAGATTTAGATAGAGATGGATAGAGAAAGAGAGAGCGAGAGAGAGAGAGAGAGAGAGAGAGAGAGAGAGAGAGAGAGAGAGAGAGAGAGAGAGAGAGAGAGAGAGAGAGAGAGAGAGAGATCGGCAGCTGCTGCCCCAACATATACTCAGGAGCAGTGCGACAGGTTCATCAACTCTGCAAGTCTTCGGGCTTTCGCTTCATGTGTTCGGTTGTTGGGGCAGAGGGTGGGGTGCTAACGCAAAGCTTTTGAGCAATCTTTGGTGTCTGGGACACAGTGGCAGGGTAAGGGTTGTATTTCTGGATGAATCTGAATGTATTCGTTTCTGTCTAGGTTCTGAGTGACCTACAAAATCCACAAAACCAGAAGCCCCGAAACCTTTGTAAACCCTATACCCCAAAATCCTCGAAGCAAGTCCGCATTAAAGCTCCACATACAGGGGTTTGTTTTTGGGCTGCAGCATAGGATTAGGGCCGCTGCGACAGGAGTTCCTGATTGTGGTCTTATTGGTATCTTGGACATCGTATATCGACCTGGAACCACAGCGCCCCTTCGAGCTGCTAGAATTCTTTGCTGGCCATGCAACCATAGCCCGGGCTGCAGAGGTCGCCGGATATCGCTCAGCCGCTGTAGATATCCTGTACGACGAGGCTAGGCAAGAGCGGAAGTCGATAGGCAAACGATCCCCTTTCGATCTGAATTCAGACGCTGGCTTTGCGCTGCTTGCCCGACAATTAAACCTGTCGTCGTTGTGCGAAAAGACACTCAACCAAGTAGCTTGTATATATCCCGTTGCAAAGCCCAATGCTGCCTTCATCCGAGGCTTGCTGTGGCAATGGTGCTCCAGGGCACCTGGTCACAGGTGGTATGCTTCTTTGGAACATGCTGTAGCTCTTTCGTGAACATTAACAGTGGGACATCGGGTCGTTCGGCGCTCGTTCCAGAGGGCTGTGATGCAATTCCTTCGGTGCGCTCTTCGAACAAACTCCTGTGTAGGACAGTTGCACTTGTCCTTCAACTTCACGGATTTCTCACAAGGTTACTCGACCTGTGTAGTGCCCCTGGCAGGACAGTTCTGCTCATGGCGCTGGCAGTGGCTATGGGGGGCTCGGTGTTCTTAGAGAACCCTGCCCAGTCTGTTCTTTTCGATTGCAAATGGTTCCTTTGGTTAGTTCGAGCCATGAAGTCGACTGGCCACGGCGCCTCTTGGGTTTGCAGTCCAACATGTCCTGTATTGCACTTATACAGTAATCTGCTCTCATTGCATTCGGTATGTAGTCTCTGCGTTCTGAACTAAGATGTACAAAGTGAGCTTTTGGATGAAACACTGGGGCTCTCCTACATGGAAGCGCACAGTGGTGGCATCCAATCTTCGTCGAATCGGGGAGTTCGACCGGGGACACTTGAAGCGAACGGCCTCAAATGCATTCCACACTTCTCACAAGTATACAGACTCCAGCGGGAAGCGATGCTATACTGGAACACGACTACTCAAAAGCACTGGGTGGCCCTTCTGCGTTATATCGCTTCAGCCCAGGTTTGGGTTGGTGACGACTATAACCCTACAGCCCCGGAGCCCCATCTATAAACCCGATCCGATCTAACTCCCAGGCAATACCCTCTCAACTTCGCCAAGAAGCTTGTGTCCATGCTGCCGACAATGCAAGCCAGGTCTGTCCGTTTCGAAGCTGTTCCTTGGCAATTCGAACCCAAGCTTGTGTGTGTGTGTGTCTCTTGGTTTGTGTGCGTGTGTGCCTGTGCCCGTGCCGGGTGTGTGTACAGTTTGGGTGTGCTGCCTCGTCACTGGTTTGTTGCTAGCCGCCAGCCTAAGGACCATGGTACCACTCCGCTCCCAGACTTACTCTCGGTTCTCAAAGAGGGCATGTGGCCTGAAGCGGAAATTTCCCCAGTTGTGAAATACTTACGGTGCGGCAAGTACCTCGAAATCCCTGAGCCATGGGCCTCACATCCTTCAATGCGGCTTGTATAGTGCAGGAGTACAGGATACCCGAATTAGAGGTGCCTAGAGCACTAATGAGGCACGTGTTGTGTGACACGAATCATCAGTGGCACTTGAGGAGCGGCCGAAGAAAGTGTGTCCAAGCCCCAAACAACTGACCAGCTTGTTTGTCTGGATCCTGCACTTGACAAGCCTAGCTAAAGCCTAAAGTAAGCATGACTTCTCCCGGTTTGTTTCCGAAAGCATCAATATAGCCACGAATATGAAGTGTTTTGTATATGTTTAAAGGCATATAGGCCTGAACCATCCCTGACGTCACACGGTTTGACCCTGAAGCTACCCTGAAATATAAGGCGGAATAACCCGGAAATAGGGCGGAATATCGCGGAATAAGGCGGAATCATGCGGAGACCCTGAAACAACCCTGAAATGTATATGCATGATGCAGGCCAAACTTGTGTCTGCTGGGGCTGCAGGTGGATTTTGTTTGGGAGGGAATGCTTGATAGACACTTGCCCAGCCGGCAGTGGTCCACACGAACCCTGGAGGAGGGTTTGTGGCGGGTACAGTCCATAGCGCCGAGCACCATGGTAGCCTCTTTAAATGCCACGGCTCTCGAAAACGAAGCGCTGCAGAAGAAGATGCAGGTGCAGCTGGCTGCTATCTTGGTTTGCTCAGCAGGTTCAAAGGTAAACCTAGACGGCTGGGTCGTGGGGTGGCTTTGTATGGCAGGAAGTCAACGCGCAGTTGGCAGCTGTTCGTGCTGCTCGGGCTAGAGGCAAGGGTTCGGGACGATCTGGTGGGGAGCCTCCAAACCCGACAGCCGGCGAGCTCACTGCCCAGACGGTTGTATCTCGGATGATGTATACCATCCCATTACGTCACAGGGCTTATTGAGACCCCTTTCTAAGGTTGAACTTCCTGAAGTCCCTCTTGCAAAAGCTACGACTGATGGCAAAGAGGCCAAGAGTGAGCAGCCTGTGGCGGCAGCCTGGGCCCACGACCGGCAACCAACTCACGAAACCCTAGGTGGTGCGGATGATCCGAATCCCATAACCCCGACCCAGCAGATCGATGATGATGATGATGATGCTGCTTTGTTGGAGGCGGCCCCCGCCCCAACCATACCCAGCACTCTCGAAGCCAAGACCGACCAGCCCCAGCACATTGCCCAGGCCGCCTCAAATGCTCCTCTGCAGCCTGCTTCTCCCAAGCCCTCCCAGACCACGAGGTGCCCAGCTGCTCCTCCAGTCAAGCCCTCCCAGCGCCCAGCTCCTCCAGCCAAACTTCCCGACCCCGCACCGTCAGTGCCAAACCCAGCCCCTGCAGCCACTACGCCACCAGTGCCGAACCCAGCTCCTGCAGCCAAACTTCCCGACCCCACGCCGCCAGTGCCGAACCCAGCTCCCGCCAAACTTCCCGGCCCCGCGCAGCCAGTGCCGAACCCAGCTCCCACGCAGGTTTCGCCACACTTGAATGGGGTTCCACTGTTGGGTCAAGCGCTGTCAACCCAACCAAACCCAAACACGACATCATTGAGTAGCGGTGCCATCGACCGCCGCCTACGTCGTGTTATGACCCCAAGAACCAATGGTGATCTAAAAGTTCCAGAGAAGTTCGTGCTTGAATGGCGCAAGGGAGGCACATCCAGGAAGAACCTAGAGAAAATCATGGCATCCGTGGGGTACAACCCGGACCGAGTGCACAAAATGTGGTAACTCTTCGTTTATGGTTTACATAAAACCCTAAACTACAAACTACAAACCCTATTTTCCTGAAGTTATAAAACTATAAAACCTATGAACCCTAAACCCGCAGGAAGCTTTCGTGCAGCTGCTCGAAGAGATCCATGAATCCTACACGGAAAGTGAGCTGGAGATTCAAGGGGAATACGCAACAGAGGAGACCATGGCTGAGTGGGGATGGTCACAGATCTTTGCTTGCAGTGTATCCGAACAAGCCCCGTACATTCCTAAGAAAACACGTGCTCACCCAAGATCAACCCTAGCTGCCTTAGTTTAATGGTTCGAGGCCCCGCGAATACCCGAACTTCCCGGACATTCTTCTTTCTATATGGCTACAAAGAATCTCAGTGAAGGCCATGCCCTGAATACCAAACCTTCAGTAGAGAACTTAGGCCGGGGTACAGCACCGTAGCTGTGAAGTGTTCACAGACGTCGAGCCCAGCATCGCAACGTTGTGACCCATCTTAGTTTCAGGAAGGGGTGTGTAAAGGAGACCTGGGCTAGCTTTATAAGGCTCCTCCCATCACAAGGTCGATCCTGCACTTATTATTCGCTGACGTGCGGTATTAAATACCCATATAACATACATACATACATACATACATACATACATACATACATACATACATACATACATACACACATACATACATACATACATACATACATACATACATACATATTATATATATATATATATATATATATAAGCTAGCTAGCTAGCTACCTACTTACCTTAAAAAAACTCCCGTGTAACCGACCCCCCTACTTTCAAAAAGACGTTGTTATGCATGCATGGGTTACTGGCTGACTGGCTGGATGGATGTCTGTGTGCTCGTATGCACGTATGTATGTAGACATGTATAGCAGGTGTGTGTATGTATATATATATATATATATGTATGCATATATATATATATATATATGTATGTGTATATCTAAATATATATGCACGGGTGTGTATGTTAGTATGTCAACTATAGTATTACATAATGTATGGGTTTCATTTTTGTGCATGTATGCATGTATGTATATATGAATGTATGTATATGTGAGAAGTTAATACATGCAACTGAGGCACTTAATTGCATGTATTCATGTCGTCGGATGTATATTATGTGATGTTATGCATGTATGTGTGTGCATACATGTATGTAATGCTTGTAAGGTATGCAATGTATGTAATGTATGTCTTTGCACGGTGCTTGCCTGGATGCTTGTCTGCACGCATGTTAGGTAGAAGCCTGTGTAAAGCCGTTACATGACGACGTTGCTTTCCGAATTTCCTGCTATCGTGCGCCATCAGATCCACTTCTAAAAGATCTATCATTTTAATGGGTGCTTCCTAGATCCCAGGAAGCCCAATTATTTTGGGAAGAGAGCGAATGGGCCAGACCCGAAGGGCTGACGTATCTAGCAATACTGAATTCGAATACAAAAGTGTAACCAGGTGTACAGGTAGCAAGGTATAGGGAGGTAGGTAGCTACGATAGGTAGCAAGTTCCTTAAACTCCAAGCCCCAAAACCGAAGCATAACCCCCACAGCCCTGAATGGATCTGTCGGTCACAGCCAAGCTCCAGCCAAGGAAGAGGATTGATGCCGTGAAGGCATACTGCGCACAAGATCCTGGACGGTTCATGAGGCCAGCTCCCCGGTCTGTTGTTATGTGAAACCCACTATAAAACGCTCATTCTGGTGCGAGGCGGGATACCTACGAACAGGACAAGGTGCTCTACTGGTGCGAGAAGACTATTAAGGCATCGCACAAGCAGCTTGGCAGTTGTAGGCTGTTCAGGATCATTCGAGGGTTGTGTTGGGAATATATATGCAGCTGAGGCAGGGGGAACGCTCCATTAGACGGTCCACATCTACCTTCGAAGCCAATGGTGTGGCTGGTCCATCGGAGCCCTCAGTCTGCCCCATTGTGGATCCAGCAGCGAGTCCCCGGGTTGAGTGGATCTACATATATACCTCTCTAGCACTCCACCTTTCCCAAGTGTGATCCAATGTTGGCTCAAACTTTCTCTTTCACTCTCTCGCTCTCTCTCTGCTAGCTCATACACACACTCACTCACTCACTCACTCACCAACATCTCTCTCTCTCTCTCTCTCTCTGTCTCGCTCTCGCTGCACTCATTCACTCTGTCACTCACACTTGTTCCTCCACTGAGGTCCATCACTGACCCAGGCAGACTTGGGGTCTGTAGACGACAAGGATGCCTCTGACCTCCGAAAAAGAGCCGGCATTCCTGAATTTAACCCAGATGCCCGGCCTTCGGCAGTGGCAGTCAAGATGACGGTCTGCCTTTCCAAACGGTCACAAAAGTTGCTCGACGTGAAGAAGCAGTTTGATGCCATTGACAAAAATGACTACACGGAGAACCACAAAAGGAAGCTTAGCTTAACTAATCCCAACACCCCTACTAAACCCCTAAACCCTGACACCTACAATAGCCTTATTAGAAACTGATCTCGTACTCCTTGCCCAAGGATGCAGGGGAAGATCCAGCAGGTCTATGCAGACCTAGAGAAGCTGAATGATGAGATTTCTACGATGCATTCTGATGGTTTGGTTGATGGCTTTACTGAAGAGCTTCTCGTTTGCATCTTATTTATGCAATGGCTCTGCGATATGCGAAGTAGATTAAATGCTGTCCATTCCAGTCTCCTTGGGTGCAGGCAGGAGGAACTTCTTCGAAGCAAGTTGCAGGAGGCCAAGAAGATGCACCTCGACCGTGCAAACAGATCGGTTGATGGTCGCATGCACACATTCCATGCTAAACTGTTCTGCATCTTGGCAGCTGCAGGGCTGTGCAAGCTCTTGGGTTGGAAGTCCGTGCGAGGACCCCGCGATTATTGACATGCACCCAGGTTTGCATTATCTCACCGTTCACATGATTAGGACAATCATCCCAAAGAAGTCCGCCTCCCCGCCACCGGCGAAGGGCAATGGCAAGGGGGGAAAGCGAGCCCTTGCCGTAACTCAAACTCCGAAATCGAAAGCCAAGCCCGAGGCAGAGCAGGCTAAGCCGCCAAAAAGAGCGAAGAAGTAGGTTTGCTCTGTTTTCCCTCGGGTACCATGCGCTTTGGTGAGGTGGCTTATTCCTCGCAATGACTGCGAATCATCCACACAAGTTTGTAAAGCTCTGTTTACTTTGCACATAGTGCAGCCCAGGGTGCAGCCATCCTTCCAAAGTCAAGCATGCCAGTACCACAACTCGCCTGAGTTGTGCAGTTCCGATGATGCAACGTGTTCGCAATCACTCGGGGAAAAGGGGTTGCTTAAATTATGCTTGGCTGTCCCACTCTCATGAATGAGACTGAAACCAGCTTCCAGCGCATCTTCAAGATGACCCAAGTATGCCAGGTGATGAGACTGCACATCAACGGCATGAAGCTGGACAACTCATGCACCAACTGGCCGAGATGGTCGGGGACGGTGTTCCGGGCTCAGAGCTTCTTTGCCTTTTGGAGTAGCGGAAGAGCAGGGACAGAGACAGGAAGAGGGAGAGGGAGAGAGAGAGAGAGAGAGAGAGAGAGTCTGTGTGTGTGTGTGTGTGTGTGTGTGTGTGTGTGTGTGTGTGTGTGTGTGTGTTTGAAAGAGAGTTTGAGTGACACTGAGAGTATAACATGCAGAGACAGTGACGGAGAGGGAGAAGGGGAGAGAAAAATAGGGAACAACAGAGAGAGAAAGGGAAAACAATCACAAACTCGGATCGAACCAAGAAAAGCTCCCATCCCTATGTTCGTAAACACCCATACAACACCAAAATGCCCTACCAATTGACAACACCACCATGCCCACATCCCTTCCTTCCCCCGAAGAGAACAATCGTTTGGGCAAGCAGCCGAGGCAGCCTGTGCTGATGTTGTACGCCTGAGCCAAGCAGCTCGTGCTGATTCTCTGGCTTGTGAGGCAGTGGTTGATGCCTCTGCCATGCGTGAGCACGATGCAGAGAAAGCTGCACACAAGCTGTTCCGTGAGTATAGTCTGACCATGGACATTCAGATCAGCTGGCTTCAGCTGGAGGTGCAAACAGAGACTGTGAGTGTGCCGATTCTGAAGCCGTCAGATTTCTTGTCATACCTGCTGCAGCATGAACCTGCTGTAGTTTGGGTTGGTGGTGTGCCCCGGACCAGATGCCGGGCATTCTGGCGGGCGTATTATCAATACCATCCTAGCCACATGGTATTTCAGAAATTCTCGGTGCAAGAGCTCGAGTCTGTGATTCCGGTTATGTACCACGGAGACGAGGGGTCGGGCAGCAAGAAGCAACCGGTTTCGATCATCAGTTTTCAGACTGTGTGGGGAACACCGAACGAGCGCAGGAAGTTCCTCAGGTGCAAGCATCTGAATGGGTGCAGGAAATGTACTCCGAAATCATGGGCGCCCTGCTGCAAGCCTGCTACTTTGGAGAATCCGTGCCGGGAGATGCCTTCCTCCATGCGTCTCACAGCAGAAGACATTGAGGAGCTGGAATATTCGTGGCCTACTACTTCGGATCACTCTTACCTTTCACGACACTTGTGCTGCGTTTTGCCTACGTACATGGCTACGAAAGGTCCTGAGGTGCTGGAGGGGGTGTTGCAAGCCCTAGCGCAGGATGCGGAACAACTTTTCCAGAGTGGTATCTGCATACAAGGCCGCAGGTACTACGCAGCCCTCATAGGCTGCAAGGGGGATGCAAAATGGCACGTTATGACAGCCAAGTTTTTTCGATCTTACTTGCACTTGGGCTCCGTTTATGACTACGAAATCTGTCCTTACTGCTTGGCGGGCCACGCCGATCATCCGTTCGAAGACTGCAGCAGCGAAGCCACTTGGGTGAGCACGATGTACTCATCCGCACCCTGGCATGAGCCGGGCCCCTTCGAATGTATTTCCTACGACCCAACCATGCCCGCAGCCAAGTACAAGCGTGATCCACTCCATGTCTTCAAGATCGGTTTGGCGAGAGACCTAATTGGATCCTTGCTGATGTTGGTGGCTCGGTTTTTCAAAATTTTCGATTGGCCTGGAGACAAGGTCGGCCTTGAGCCTAGAATGCGCCGTGCGCACGGCAGGTTTATGCTTTGGTGCCGAGCTCAAGGAGAGATTCCACACTTCCGTAGTTTCACCAAAGATTTCCTGCATATGAAATACGTTACAGACTATGCCTACACAGGTTCGAAAGGTTCTGACTGTATGCTACTGATCAGATGGCTCAGCTTTGAGATCGGCCTCGCAATCAATTCCAATCGTGGAGTCCCACATCGTCGGGACTTGCTCAAGGTTGGGCTTGATGTTTGCAAGGCATCCACTGAGTATTTCCGACTGCTATATTCACATGGTCTTTGGTTGGGTAAAGATTGTATGGTGACACTGCGGAATCTGGTCCTGACCATAACAAGAGGGTACAACTACCTCGCAAAAGCCTGTCTTCAGGAGGGCTTTCCAGCCTTTAGCATGAAAACAACACTGCATTCATGGCACCATTTTGCGGTAGAGATCTGCATCTGTTTGCAAAGAGGCTGTACTCTATACCCGAACGTATTGATATGGGACTGCTCCCAATGCGAAGACTTCGTTGGGCGTACAGCCAGGGTATCAAGATCCGTCCACACACGTACAAGTGCACTCAGGTGCATACAACGGCATTTGTTGAAAGCGAAGATGCTCATGAAGAGAAAGAAGAAATCCCGTGCTGACCAGGCCTCCAAAAAGAAGTCCGCAGCGGGCACGGCCATGCAATGAGAGAAAGACTACACTGCAATGACAAGTTTTGCACACTGTATCTCTTTGCAGCCATCTATCAGAGATACTCGTTTAGCTATATATTCCCATCCATATACATAGCTATCATGCAAGTCGATCTCTCTCTTGCATTGGCCTTTAGTTCGTGCTCGTCGACCTGCAGCATCTGAACCGCAGCTGCCGGAAAGTGGCTGATTTGTTTGGGCATGGCTGTTATTCTTGTTTGGGGCTGTTTCGGCGACTTGTGGCTACAATTCGTGGTTGTTCAGGTCGTGGCTACTTTTCGGCGCACACACGGGGTGCAGGTAGGGTTTAAGGGGTTTAGGGTTCAGGGTTTAAGGTTTAGGGTTTAGGGTTTAGTGTGTAGGGTTTAGGGTTCTAAGCCTTAAACTTCCAAAGCCCGAAACCCTCAAGGCCTAAAGCAGCGCCTGAACTCTAAAACCCAAATCCCTTTATAGAGCACTTATAGTTCCCTTATATTAGATCCCATTAAAAGGACCCTAAAACCCTGAAAGCCTGAACTCTAAAATCCAGACCATGATAGAAACCGTGACAAGAAGCCTCGAGTCGTCCCCAAGAGCTCTGAGGTCTGAAAAGGCAAGCCTTCAAACATACTTATAATATACACTGAAGCTCCTTTCAATTTGGGGTTGCAAAATCCTATATAGGCAATGGGTTAAACCAATAAAATGGCGGCAATGGAGACCAAAGCACAGGCTCGATCCAGAGCACAGATTAACTACAAGACCTGCAAAAGTTATTGAACCAGAGGCCAAAACACAGTTTAACTCAAACACCCCAATACTGATCCCCTAGGCAACTGACTAAGCCGCCTGAACTCAAATTTCGCAAACACTCTAAGCCTTCAACCGCCAACACTCGAAACCTGAAATTCCCAGACCCTAAACCCTAAACCCTAAGACCCTAATTCCGAAGCCCAAGACCCCGATCCCCCACGATTTCTCCCCTTGCTGGGGGCCCTGCGGCCAAGGACCTCCCGAGTCTCGTAGGCACGGGTCTGGGCACCTGGTGGCACGGCTTCGGCTACTTGTACATGTGTCTGTGTGTGTGTGTGTGTACACACTTGTATATGTAACGCAATGTACTGTAATCTACTGGTAATGTGATGGAAGGGGAGGGCAGGCATGGAGATCTGAGCCAGATTCTTCAGCCCACTTATAACTTGTCCATTGGAGAGGTTATGAACCGAACCTCAAGCGCTTCGGCGAACACCACCTGAGCCGCGAGAACCCCTGAGCTCAAACACATGAGGCATCACCCCGACTGCGACTGCGAACCCCAAGCGATGGCTCGGGGGCCCTAGATGTAATCGCAAAACACTGGAAACATGATTATTTCCGAAAACCTAAGCTGAAAGAGCCCTAAATCCTAAAGGGCAGCGGCAAAGGAGCCGAGAGTCTGAACAACTACACCCTGAAATCCCGGAAAAAAATCTTAAAAGGGACCTATAGAGGCCACTTCCTGGACCCCAAACGTATGTAGAATAACAGCCTTTTATAGGTACTTATTGGGCCATTGTTCTACCTACTTTTGGGGGGTTTAGGTTAGTGCAAACCCCTTTTAAAAGACAACACCTACACCGTCATTCCTGCCAGCCGGCTTTTGCGAATCTCCTCGGTGAGCCGCGTGGTGTAGGGAATGCGCTGGCCTTCCCGTCACAGGATAGCCAGAACTCGGTGTGAAGTCTTTAAGGGTTTATAGGGTTCACTTAGAGTGGTCGAGCTTACCCCAAACCCCCAAGGCAGAGGTTCAGGGTTGAGGGCTCTGGTGCTGGGGCGGGAATCACGACATTCCCAAGCCGAAGATGAATATCAACGTGAACCCTTTGGTTAAACCGACGTAAACCCCCAAACGCTAAACCGTAAGCCTAAACCATAAAAAGGTACTTGCGTGAATTGACTGCTAGCGTACTTAGCGTACAGCGTTGCTTTGCCATCCAACCGAGCTGCATTGTCCATGTCGATCGAAGTCCCAGCCATGGAAAGGGCACCGGATGCTGTTGCCAACCACCTGTAGCTAGTCGAATTCTCATGGACCACTTTCACCTAATACAGGGGCCTTAATAAGTAGAAGAGGGTTTTTGGGGCCCATTATACACATATAATAAGGAACACCCACAGTAGTATTGGTAATCATTTAGGCCCCTATATTACGCCCCTAAGCCCTATAAACCCTAAACGATCTACGAATAGAGGCTACCTTGTAAGGCTGGGGCCTCAGTGAGGCCACGCGGTTGAGGGCTCAGTATATGTAGACTGACAGCCTTTTAAAGGTGTTGGGCTATTATTCTACCTACTTTCGGGGGTTTAAGTGATATTTTGCAGCTCTTGGAGGTTTGCAGTGAAGCTTCCGACCTCACGAACACAGACCCCTGAAAACACTGTCTGGTGCTTCTTAGGAAATGGGGGAATGGATTATGGAGACGATTATTGAGGATTATATAGGGACTACTACAGGGATCCATTCCCCCATTCCCTACTAAGCACCAGGGAGAATAACAGAACATGCAGGGCTGTCTGAGTGATTGCACTGCTGCAGAATAGGCCCGCCGAAAGCGGGCAGAGCGTGTATAGGGCTTATAAGCTAACAGGGCACAGGGTTTGGGTTCTAGGGTTCGGGAATTGTCTATTGCGTTGTCGTAGATGACGGCTCACGTAACAAACGTATGGCAAACATGCACTTGTTCGCAGAACACACGCTTCATGGCTCGTGGTTTGTCTGGTCGGAAGCCAGAAAAGCGTAGATCCCGGACTCTTGTACATACAACCTTGAAACATCTGCTGATGTTTTCTCAATCTACCTAACTTTCCCTGCAGCTTGATGTCTTTGCGGCCGAATCCCCAACAACAACACGAAAACACCGACAAATTCAAGCTGGACAGCTTTGCCTTGGAATTCGAAGATGCGCAACTGTCGGGTTATGCAATTTTTCAGTTTACGCTGCAAGACTATACGTCCTAAATCATAAAAAGCTTTGCGATCATCGAAGCACTGCGTCGTGGCTGTTCCGAATTAGCGATGCTCTTCTTCTTTCATGACCATACTAAGCCCCAAGTACTCGTGGGCTCGAACGGACTCGTATTTGGCCCTTAATTACTATAATAGGATTTAGGGCCCATCATAACTATAATTAGGAACCATCAAAATGTATAGGCGACTAGTTAAGCCCCGATATCAAACGGACTATTGAAGCTTGAGGGCTCTACGGTAATATGAGGGCCTTAGCAATTAGAATAGGGTTTTGGGGTATATTTTACTACATTCAAAACAAGCAGAATAGTATATTATACAACATGTGAAGTAAGCAAAATATCATATTATACTACGTTTAAAATAAGCAAAATTGGTCATATGAACATGCCCGACCTGACCACCAGAGCCAAGGTGAGCGCCCATGTGAGGGCAAAAGGCATCTAACACCGCCACCTGACCGCCAGTCAAAGAGGAAGCTAGGGCTCCGGGAAAGGGATCTTTAAAGGATCCGATGTGGGTTCCGAAAAAATCAGGGATCTGGAAGGATACTTTAAGGGAATCAGGATTTCAGGGTTTAGGGTTTAAGGTTTCGGGGTTTAGGGTCGTACGAACACTGAAGCCTAAACTTGCTCACCCCTAAAAGTTACTTCGGGCTTCTAAGTTCAGCCTTGTCAATAACCCGATTCCTTTTTGGGGGGTTTACAGTTTACAGCTTCAATCAGCGCAGGTCGGGTGGGGGTCACGGCTTTCGGTTTTAGGGCTTCACGGCGACTCCGAAAACCCAAATCGCACATTTTGTCGCAACTTCTGTTCCACCCACCGAATCGGTCCCTGCAAGACCGGTTTGTTCTCGTAGACTTACGAAAGGCTGCTGATATTGAAATCCTGAAATCCTAAATAATCCTAAGTCCTTGCCCTTAACCCAATACCCAAACGCTAACCCTAGGACGCCCGGAGCCTAAACCCTAAAACCCCATAGCTCCCTTAAAGGAACCCCTTAAAAGGTACCCTTATAGATCCCTTTAAAGGAACCCCAGGGTTTACATCACCAACCCTGGGGACGCCCGGAGCCTTTCCATCTGCGCCCCGGAACGCTACCAGCTCCGTCCCAAGAGCGCTGATTGACTTCACCTGGGTTGGGGCTGACAGCTTTAGGGTTTTGGGGTTTTGGGGGTTTGGGCTTCCTTTAAAGTGATCTACAAGGGTTCTTATAAGGGACCCATAAGGGTTCTATAAAGGAGTTTAGGGATTTCGAGGTTTGGGGTTTTGGGGTTTTGGGTTTTGGGCTTTAGGGTTTGAGGGCTTTGGGGTTTGGGTTTAGGGTTTCGGGGTTTAGGGTTTCGGGGTTTAGGGATTTAGAATTTAGGGTTTTAGGAAGTGGGTAAGGGTTCCTGTAAAGGGTCCATGATGGTTCTGGAACAGGGTTTGGGGTTGTGTTCGGGGTTTAAAGGTTCACGGCTTAGTGGCCTAGGGTTTTTCGTGGTTTAGGGTTCAGGGATGGAGACTCCGTTGAGCAACACATATCTATCTACATACACTAAAGGCGCAGACATAAGTAACAGACCTTAGTATATACAGACAAAATAACGCCCATATACACTAGAAAGACACGAAACAGGTTATGCGAATGATCGTATAGTTAAGTTTATCTATATGCCATGTGTACATATACATATACACATCTCTGTTTCTCTCTCTCTCTCTCTCTCTGAAATTAGGTCTAGTGTATCTACCCACCTGCCTGTCAGTCTGGCAGTATGTCTGTGTATCTATCTGCCGATAGCTTGATCAGCCAACTTGAGCTTCCCTAAGCCCTAAACTCCCTAAACTCCCTAAACCCTAAACCTTAAACCTAAACCCTAAACCTTAAATCCTAAACCCTTAAACCTAAACTAACCTTAAATCCTAAACCAAGCCACCTGGCCATTCGCTACGTCTGCCGCGTTGCAGACCGCCTCAAGGCTTCAAAAGCCAGGCTCCAGGGCTTCCGGGATTTTGGGGTTCCG